GTTTGCTTTTTGAAAGTGGAAACCACAGTGGTACCTTTGCCCCCAAGAACAGTGGTCTCTCCCAGAAGCTAGAAGTGTCTTCCTTATCCTTAACTTTCACCTAGGAAAAGCTACAATTGTTTACTTTAAGTGTAAAGGCAAAAACCATATCTCACCTTCCTTTATGCTTGGATATGTGATGCCTCTAAGTCCCTTATAGCTAGCTATAAATCTGTAATCCTATGAACTTCCAAGTCAGTGGAGCCTTGGGGTTGCAAACCTAATTTGTATGTTGAGTAAAAGGAAGCTTTCAATCCTAAGTCATATCTCTTGTTTCACACAGGATAGGGGTTATTTATTTTCTCTTTGGGTTTTCATGTCAAAAGTCTATGATATGATATAATGAGATTGTCTTTCTATGAGGGTGTTTTCTTACCTTCAGGCCCGGCATTCTATCCACTGCATCACCTCACTGTCCCTTGGTTCGAAATAGGAGAAAGTAAACCTGCCTTCTGAGTCCCACAAATATCTCCTGTGAATCTATGGCTAAATTAATTTACACTGGAGTTGATACTGCAAGGTAAATTGACTGCCCATAGACTCTAGAAATCCAGGTCAGCATGGGTGTCCAAAAACTAACCATGGACCTGATTTGAGCAAGTACTAGGCCAGATGGTGCCCCTTTTGCTTCCTCTGACCTGAGTTAACTTGACACTAATTTACATAGTGGCATATGTTTTGGGCCTCCCTGAGAAGCTCCCATATGTTACATAACCTATTAACATATGCTGGGATACATATCTACAGAGTATTAATGTTAATCTATAATCCTTCATTTTTATATACCAGTTCTTTTTAAAGTTATTATTACTTATGCTCGTAGCCTTTCCTTTAATGAAATTTCTCTACCTTGATTTTTTTTTCCCTAACCAAACTTTAGTAGCTGATATTCAGAGAACATCCAATTTTGGTGACAACAAAGGCTATAAACCTAAGGCTGCTTCTTTTAGAGGGGAGAAATGTTAGATTTTGATCTTCTTTGAAATTGATGTAGTAAATTTGAGTTCAGATTTATCAGAATTGAATTACTTCAAAGATTAACTTTCTATTGAATTTGCCTCTTGGAATACCACCATGGAGGTTTTATTAGCCAGATCATTGAGAAATTATGTTCTTATAGAAAGCTACACTTATAAGAGTGTAGATCAACTACTGTTTCATTAGTTTGGAAGAAAGCCAGAGTTACGAGCAGAAATTTATAAAATTAGTAAAATCACAACTAATGGATTTTCTCTTAGTGGATAGAGCACTAGGTCTAGAGTCAGGAATACCTGAGTTCAAATCCAGATTCAGACACTTAGCAGTTGTTGACCCTGGGAAAGTAGCTTAACTTCTGTCTGCCTCTCCTTCCTCAGCTGTAAAATGAGGATAATAAGCACACTTACCTACCAGGTTTGGTTGTGAGGCTCAAGTGAAATTATAATTGTAAATCACTTAGCATAGTGACTGGCACAGAGTAAGTGCTTTTTTAACTGTTAGCTGTTGTTATTATTATAAAATGAATTCCATAAAAGCAGAATTTAGAGAGCATAAGTATTTAAAATGTAGCTGCTTATGTGGGACAGTATGTTTACCTCTTGTGTTGACAAATGACTGTCTGCAAAAGAATATAAAGTACAAGACAATAGTAAGAAAATTCAGCAAATATTTATATAAACTTTAGTCCACATAACTCCTATGTAGCACTATAATTTATGGAGCATTTTTATACATTATTTCATTAGCTCGTGATAACTTTATCAGGTAATTTGTGTATTGCCATTTCCATTTTATAGCTTTGGTAACTAAGGCTCCAAGTATATTTGTGATGCCCAAGATATCATAAAACTACTAAGCATAGCTAGTACTTGAGTACAGGTCATCTTCCTTCAAATCTAGTGCTCTTTCCAAAGAAATAAGCCAAATGAAACGTGGAAATATCCGTAACTGCAGCATTTCACAGAATCTCAATGTGGGATTCAAATACTAACCCATATCTGACCTGGGTGCCTTTCTACAACATGTCCAACCAAGTGATAATTCAGCCATCACTTAAAGACCTCAAATGGGTAGGAACACATTACTTTTATGGGTAGTCCACTCCTCTTTAGAATAGTTCTCATTAGGTTTTTCCTCTCTTGAACCTTAATCTGCCTAACTTCTTTTCATTGTTGTACCTTCTGGAACCAAAAAAAAGAACAAGCTTAATATCTTTTCTGTATGATAGCCTTTATGATAGACACTTATCATATCCCTACCAAGTCTTCTCCTCAGTTTCTTCAGCAAGTTCTTTTATTACGGCCTCTGATTTCATTTGTATTTGATCAACCTAGGTAGTTTCAAGCTTATTGATGCCCTTCCTAAAATGTGGCACCCAGAACTTGAACACAATATGCCACTTACATAAAACTGAAAAATTTTTGCACAAATAATCAATACAGTTAAGATTTGAAGTGAGACTATTAACTGGAAAAGTCTTTACAGCAAATTTGTCTGATATCTAGATATATGGAGAACTGATTCAGCTGTGTAATAATAGTCATTCCCCATGAATAGGAAGTTCTCTAGGGAAAAAAAAATTCAAAACTAATGGCAGCAATAATGTGGGAAAAAATGGTCCAAATCACAAATGATAAGAGAAATGCAAATTAACTCTGATGTACCTCACATCTAAAGATGACAAAATAGGAGAATGATCATTGTTGGAGGGGCCACTTTTGGAAAACAGGCATATTAATGTACTATTAATGGAGCTGTGAATTAGGCCAGCCGTTCTGGAAAGCAATTTGGAACTATATCCAAAACATCACTAACAGTGCATGCCCTTGACCCAGCAATACCATTAACTAAGCATAGACTCCAAAGAGATCAAATAATGAAAGGGCCCATATGTATAAAAATACTTTTTAGCAGCACTTTCTGATGTAGAGGTAAAAGACTAAATGTTCCAAATGAGACGTGGAATTTCAGACACAGCCAAGATGTAGATTAGTTTTACATGACCATCCTTATTTGTTACAAAGAAAGGTTTTTGGAGGTTTGTTTAGAAACATCAGGGAAAAACAGGAGCTAGTGATAGAGATTCCAAAAAGAAAAGAATGTCATTGAAGCATTTTATTAGAAAAAGGAAACAAAAGTAGATATAAAAACAAGAAAACTTTGAACTCATTTATTAAATTTATCATATACCTTTTAGAGCTTCACAGGTTCGTATACAGTCCCCCTTTTTGTTCTTTGTATATGGAAATGGTTGTGTTAGCGTTTATGACGTTCAGAATAATAAAACCTTGCTGTGTGAGAGAACCATTTATCACTGTTATAAAGTGAAGCAAGTTCAGTATGTCCTGTCATTTTTTAGGTTTTTCTACTGTGCATTTAACATTGTTATGTCAGGGACTGTGTTAAGTGCTTTACAAAGATTATCTTACTTGATCCTCACAACAACCTTGGGAGATGCTGTTATTATCCCTGTTTTACAGCTGAATAAAACCCAGGTAGATGTTGAGTGACTTGCCTAGTTAAGTATCTGAGGCCAGATTTGAACTTGGGTCTTCTCAACTCCTGGCTGGACACTCTGTCCACTGTACCACTTTTGGCATTTAGTGAAAGTGTCGATTATTGAGTGCCACAATCTAACAAGAGCCCTCTTTTGGGACTGTAGGACTGTGACTTAATTCATTGCTCTCAACCTTATTCTGATTAAAAACATAAATACCTGTGCTTCATTTAATGTTGGATGAAGCAATAGCTTTTGTAATTGGATTTTGTAGCACACCATAATTTGAACACATTGTTGATAGGAGTAGTAATTATGGATAAAGTTCCCTTGAATGATCAAATGATTAACATCAGGACTTTTCTAGGTCCAGAAGTTCATTTATTTTAACATGCATCTTATATAGAATTCAGCCCCATCTTGATCAAATTTCTATAATTTTAATATCATAAAATAATAAGAATTACCCTAGCATTAGCACTCTTTGTAATACTAGGTATAACTTATAAATCATATTGTTCTATGTCAACAACAACATAGAATAAGAGATTTTATAAGATTATAAACCTGTCTTCCTCGCCTGACTGTATCCAAATCATGAGCTATAACATTATAAATTTTTAAATGTTTGCCTCCAGCATTCTAAATTTGGGGTTATAAATTATAGCATAAAGACTAAAATGTGAAGGTTTAGAAGGATGAGCTTTCATTCGGCAAACTCAAATTTGCTTTAACATTTATCCATTTTTTATATGGTGCATGTTCTTAGTAGACCTTAGTAACATAAAATCCCTTAAATGAACTATAATATAGACATTCTAAATAGTCCATATCTTACTGTGAATCATCAAAAACATGTGAATTAAGATTTTTAATGGTGCTATGTTTAAATTCAAACCAGTATATCTGTAAGTCCCTGCTAGGGACAGTATGCCATGTGATGTGCTGAAGTACAGAAATGAAGAACAGCAGACCATGCATGCCCTCAGGAGTTTTTAGGCTTCTCTAAGTACATGTGACATATGCACAAAGAAGTGTGACAGTGCTAAGTGTGATGGGGGCAAAGAAGAGATCCAGACAAATTGTTTGATGAATATTTGAGGGAAAGAACTCCTTCAATAGGTAATGTTCAATCAAGGAAAGTTTCATCTTTTAAATGACCAAAAATAAAATACTAAGAACCAACTGTACTGATGGAAACAATAAGGGCAATACATAATACCAGTTAATTTTTAATAAATACAAAACATGGATTTTCTTTCCCTTAATTTACTATTAACTTATTTTCTGTGTACTGTGGAAAGTTAAAAGGCCAGTTACATCAGAAACCAAAACTATCTCATATCTGATGCCTCAAGTGAGGTTTTTGTAGGTTAAGACCCTGAAATTCTGTACTATGTTATTTGAAATATGTTATTTTAGCCTGAAAAAAATGTTAGGGCAGGTCCATGAAAGAACTAAATATACACTTATCAGAATATCTTACCTTAACACTTACATCCTGGTTGGCCCAGCAGAATGATTTGGCTGAAAAATAGATACCAAAAACGTTTAATGAAATACATGTTTAGTGAGGATTATTTAGGTTTGATCAAGTAGTGGAGAATACTGGCTGAAAATATGGAGATTTCGTTTTGCATATAATTGGGTATAACTGATTAACGTTAAGCTGCTACTTTTAGCAATAGTTGACACACTCAATTGCATAGTGAGTCAACTCCCAGTCAAAAACGGTAAATAGTATCCTTATAGTAAAAGGAGAATACTTGTCTTGTTTCTTTGCTTACTTTGAAGATGTGGAAGAACAAGTATAACTCATCTAATGATTATATTCAGGTTAAAAAGAAAACCTTGCTAGGACACAGTCTTATGTGATTGAAATGTAGAATTTTAGAGTTAAAAGAAATTTTTAAATTATTAAGTCATCTAATACAACTCACTCATTTCACGAATGGGAAAACTAAGTCCCAGAAAAACTAAGTGATTTGCCTGACTAGTTATTAGCAGTCGAGACGAGTTAGATTCCCCTGACTTCATTTAGTGTTCTTATACTACCCATGTTACCTCTCCATGTCAGGATAAGCAGAGTGCAATATTATGTAAAATACTTATAAAACCTATCTTAGTCTTATAAACTTTTTAAAATAGAACATTTGAGTGGTATAAAAACAGTAGGTAAAATTATTTTGAAGAATCATAGTTTCATAGTTTAAGATTAGGTTATTCCACAAATCTCACAGGTGTGTTTTATTAAGTTCATTTTGCTTCCGCTGATATTGGTGTTCTTTTCACCATACTGCACTAACTCTTAGAACAACCTTCTCTGAAGAAACTTATACTCTCGTAAAAGGCCTTTATAAAAGCTTTAGTGATATGTACGATGTCAGTAGCAAGCTACTGACCAATGCAGTATGGTAGCAGAGCAGTTTTTTTTTGTTTTTATTGTTATTTTCTGTTTATTGCATCAACATAGTATCCCATGTATCCCTTTCCACATCCAAAAGCCATCCCATATTACAAATAGTGTTTTTTTTTGGGGGGGGGGCTAGGCAGTGGGGTTAAGTGACTTGCCCAGTGTCACACAGCTAGTAAGTGTTACATGTCTGAGGCTGGATTTAAACAAATAGTATTATTTTAGAGAAGAAAATAAAACCAGCAGAACTCATTGATACAGATGCCTCCCCAGAACTCTGATCAACAAAAGGGTTAACCATGATTCCAGAGGACCATGAGGAAATTATGTTGAAGCATGATTCTCACCTCCTAGCAGAGAGGTGATTGACTCGGGGTACAAGGGAAGACATATTGTTTTGGACATGACCAATGCAGGCATTTGTTTTGTTCAATTATGCATATCTGTTACAGGTGGCCATAGGTTTGTCTTGTTATACATTGGGAGATTTCATTTATGGTGTTACGGAATAAAGCAGAAAAGAACCTTACAATTCATTCCATTAATTTTACAGATGAAGAAACCCAGTTAGTTCCAATACAATTTTGACTTAACTTCTGTCAAGTTAAATGAACTTATACTATGCGAATAGTTGGGTATTGCTGAAAAAAGTGACAGAAACTGTATTCTATTAGGTACCTATTCTGTTCAAGTCCTACTTTAATGTCTTATTGTGGCATAGAAATGATCCTGACTTTTCAAGCTATGTCAGCGGATCAGGACTTATAGTATAATGGCATAGATAGAAACTGTATATATCTTATCTGAGGACCAGCCAAGTTAAGTTCTGAAAAGTTTTACCATGAGATTGGCTCTGAGGTGATGAAATGTTATGCCATGACAACTCTGCAGAGATTGTCTCTTAAATTGTAGAGAAGTTATAATCTGTTTCAGTTGAGGACATTGCCCATATATACTGACAAAATCATAGAACTTTGAAGTATTCGAGCCTTCAAAGTCATGTGGTAGGTATTATAGGGAGTATACAAATGACTAAAAATTTCTGGCCTCTATAGAATGAATCTAGTAAGGGAGATGACATGTATAAATAATTATAATACAGTATATAAGTACCACAGTAAAGGTACAAAGTAATGTAATAACTCAGAGGAGGAGATCATGTCTGCTTTATAGGAATCCAAAAGGCTTCTTGGAGTTGGTAGCATTTGATCAGGACCCTGAAAGATGGGTAAGACTTCAACTAGTGGAAACTGAGGGTAGAGCATTCCAGGTGGAAGAAGCTTAAGTCTTGGTCAGGATTTTTTAAAGCTATAGTAAGGAAATAACAGGTGGTCCAGTGTGGCAAGAGCATAAGGCATGTGAAGCTTAACTTCTTTCTATTCCTGGATTAACATTCTTTTTATACCAAAAGTCTGCCACAGGTAACTTTTTTCATATTTCCTAATTTAAAGGGGAAAACATTGCAAGTTTCCATTTTTTCAAAGAATTTCTATTCACATTGCCTAAAACTTTGGGGAAAATGAGACCAGACTATTCATCTCCTGAAGGCTTTAGCTTTTTATCCTTAATGTATCCCTGTCCTTTAATGTTTTGATTTTGTATTTCTTTTCTGCAAGTTTCAGTCTGAGCAACTATTTGATCTAGCAGTTACTGTTCCCTCAGGAAACTTGCCTAGGCTACTGGTTTCATTCAAAAATTATAAGTGGTATCTATCATCTTTGATAGAAATATTTATTTAAGCTGAAAAGGACTAGAGTGAAAGGCAGTGTTCCATTTTATGTTAGATTGTTGTGTTAAGAGTTTCAAATACTTGATTATATGTTATGGTAATAATTCTTAATTGGTTATAAATCTTCCTTTCATGCAAGGCTAACAAAATTTTCCAGGACATACCTGCTTTATTTCAGATAAATACTTTCCCTTCCTATAGAATCCTTTAATCCTTATAATATCAAAAACATTTCCTGACACCCACATCTTAACACTTAATCTGTCTCATTTATATTGTTCATCAAGTAATTAGTTTACTACTTTGATTTTTAAATAGCTCAAACACATATTGGGCATGATATATCAAAACAGTTTTCAAAACAACTAATCTCTTGACCCCTTGGTCTCTTCTATTTTATCTTTCTGTTTGGGGGAATGAGATGTTAAGGGTACTTTTTTCCAACATCAATAAGTCAGCAAAGGACTTGTCTAAACCACCATGAGTTTAATTGTTTTCTAGTAGTTTCTTACATATGCATCTTATTTCCCCAACTAGATTTTTGGTTCTCTTAGAGCAAAGATAATGATTTTATGTTTCTACCCCCTATGGTACCTGGGTACACACATCCAACCTTTATTAAACTTATAGGTTAAGTGATGAGTAAAGTAAGTTCTTCATTTTTGAAATCTGTTTTGTTGGGGCAGCTAGGTGGTGTAGTGGATAGAGCAATGGCCCTGGATTCAGGAGGACCTGAATTTCAAATCTGGCCTCAGACGTATAACACTTACTAGCTGTATGACCCTGGGCAAGTCACTTAACCCCATTGCCTAGCCAAAAAAAAAAAGTCTGTTGTGAATCCCCCCAAGTTGATCTTTACCTTGACAACTCCTGTCACCTTCACCAGATTATTTGACATAAACCTTGCCATAAATATATATATATATGTATATGTATATATATATGTATATGTATATATACATATGTGTGTGTGTATATATATATATATATATATATATATATATATATATATATATATATATATATATATATATATATATATATATATATATATATATATATATATATATATATATATATATATATATATATATATATATATATATATATATGAAGAATGAGAAATGCTGAGGTTCAACTGGTCAGAGCAGCCAAAGTAGTAGGCTTTCCAATGGGAGAATTTCTTAAAAACAAAGAAAGGAGATGACGGAGTAGGTCAGAAAACTTTGGAGTCTCCAGATTTCCTCCACAAACATACCCACAAAAACAAACCAGAATATCACCTCAGAGTGAAGGTAGAGTAGCAGAAATAAAAGTAGAGTAGTTGTCCTCCTAAGACAACTTGAAAAGACTCCAGGAAAGACCAGACCTCCCGGGGTGGAGGATTGGCCTGAGTGAAGTGCAGACACCTCTAGGCTGACTGTGCTGAATCAACAAACAAGCCCTGGGAGCAGCTGCATTGGCAGCCTCAGCCTTGGGAACTTTCACCTCAGGGCCAGTGTTGGGGTCAGACAGCTGAGTAGGAGAAGACTGAAGGATCTTCCACTGTCGTGGGACACTGAGCACAGCTGTGCTGGCCACACATGGTCCCTGGCTGCATCTGTAGGGGACAAGGAGCTAGCACATACCTAGTGAGTACAGTAGCAAAGGGACAGGGACCCCACTGGCAATGGGCACTTGTAGGAGAGCAGAGTCCCTGGTTTCAGTTCCAGGGCAGAGAGGACAGTTGGTTTGCAGCCACTAAGAGGGACCACAGGGAGCAAGAGCATTTGTGATACAGCAAGGCTGAGAGGGCCCTAGCATGGCTTAGGGGTACAGCAGAGTGCCCAAGGTTGGGGCTTGGTAACAGAGTTCAGAAAATAACAGAAGGACCTGAGGCTTGGGGCATCATTCCCCCACACCTCAGGACTAGAACTTGATTATAATAATAAGCTGCTAAAAATAAAAATAAAAGTGAGTTAAACAAAGGAGAAAGAACACATCCATAGATAAATACTTTGGGATTAGAGATCGGGGCTTATATTCAGAGGAAGGTAGTGGAGCTAAAAAAAGCCACTCTTTTTTCAGTGAGAAACATCAAATGGTCACAAGCCCAAAAAGAGTTCTTGGAAGAATTTTAAAAGGACTTTAAAAATTAAATAAAGGGGAGCAACAAAAAATTAGAAAAAAAATTTTTAATTTAAAAAAAAATAATTTTTTTAAAAGAACAGTCCAAGAAAATGAGTAGGAAGTCAACCAACTGGAAATAGAGAATCAAAAACTTAAGGAAGAAAATAATTCCTTGAAAACTAAAATTAGGCAAAGGGAGGCTAATGATGTTATAAGACACCAAGAAATAATGAAACAAAATCAAAAGAATGAAAAAATAGAAGGGAATATGAAACA